GCATCATCATCTAATAGCATTTGGATTGATTTGGTTGTTAGCGACAGCGCATGGAGGATCTGCAAAACGTGGCTGCGTTATTTGTAGCTTTCTACAGCTTGGTCAGCTGGTCGTCGCTCTTGCCGTTGCCGTACTTCTCTACACTGTGTCGCATCTGCAAAATGACTGCCGTGAGGTCTTCCGCCTTAAACACTGAGCTTCCAGCGACAATCATATTAGCACCAGCCTTCGCCGCCGCATCAATAGTGGAGGGTCCCAAACCACCATCCACCTCGATGTCCAGGGCCGGGTACTTGGCACGGATAATCTTCACTTTCGTCATCATGTCCGTCATGAAGCTCTGGCCACCGAAGCCCGGCTCCACAGTCATGACAAGCACCATATCCACAAGATCCACGTACGGAAATGCAGCCTCGGCGCTAGTGCCTGGCTTGATGGCCAGACCCACCTTCATGCCGGCGTCGCGGATCTGCTTGATGAGGGCCAGCGGGTCCTGCGTCGCCTCCAGGTGGAAAGTGAACTGGTCGCCTCCCGCCGCCGCGATGTCCGGCACCCACTGCTCAGGCTTGGACACCATCATGTGGCAGTCAAAGAAAGCCTTCGTGTGTGGGCGTAGGGACTTGATCACGGGTGGGCCCCACGAGATATTCGGCACGAAGTGGCCGTCCATCACATCCAGGTGGAGGTAGTCTGCTCCAGCAGCCACGACTTTCAGAGACTCGTCCTTGAGGCACGATAGGTCCGACGCCAGCAGTGAAGGGCCGATCTTGCACGTGCAGCTGTGGCACATCGTAGCAATGGAGGAGAACGTTGGGGTGAAGACGAAGCGTCTGATGTAATGAGGTCTCAGCTTTGATTGCCAGCGGAACGTCATCAGGGCTATGCTTGTCGAACAATGCGTATTTTACCATATCTGTTTGACTTCGTGGATGTATTGAGTTTTGAGTTAGTTTGTGTCAATACAAATGAAAGTAGACTACATCTGTAAATTTGAGGCAGTGTCCCAATCACAGAGGTTGCATTTGGTGTTGGGACGAGCGGCTGCGGGAGGAGCGGATAAGTGGACGAAGTCCTTTTACGAGCACGATGGCGTCTCTCCCAGCAGATTGCGGAGTCTGAGTCGCCAAGATTTTCCAGCGTCTACCCGCAGGCGCAACATCCCCGTCGGCCAACCAGGTTATCAGCAAGCAGGCTTAAGGGATGACAAGAGTGGGCCTCGTGGGGCTCAACAAGCACGCTAGCAGCAGACGTCTCGCGCCGTGTGACGACGCCCAAACTTATGTGAGAAGTTCTGAAACGAAGGGA